CAAGGGTGGCCCAAAAGTGACCACCCCAACACAAAGGTAATTAAGTATGCAAAAAGGCCCAAGAGCCTAGAACAAAACATGGCTAATTCTAGTCTAATCAAGCACCTGGCCATTCGGCCATCTTAGACACAAGCCCAAGCTAAGGCAAATAAATGGCCCATAGGCCTTGAGGCCATTCGGCCATGCTCAAAGAAGAGGCCCAAGCCCCCTTTCATCTTTCCTAGCAGCCACACGCTGCTTCATTAAGCCCAAAGAGCCACACTGGGCTAAATAAATCAAAGGCCCAAGGCCTTTTATCTCAGAAATGCCACCCTGGGCTAATTAAATATTTAATTAGCCATATTTAATTAGCCCAGTCTCCTTGTCCAACGGCCACTGGGCCCAGCACGGCCCAAAGTCCATATAAGGCCAGATGGGCTCATCAAGCCTATTAGGCTACTTCATGCATCCACGCGGCCCATTCTTTTAATATATTATTAACCCATATATCTTAAATAAATTGTAATAATTCAGACAATTTAACATGCACCTTAATATTAAATTAAAATTCAAACAGCAAATTAAAACTTAATATTTACTCAAAGTTGAATGATAATTTAATAATGAATTAAGCATAAATCAATTGATTAGAAGCAATTCATTTGGAGAATAAACTAAAGATCCCAATGAAACAAAGAAATGATGGAAAGTAGCCCATAGACCCAATACTTTAAAATGATCTAGGCCTTGCCATATGGGTCAGACCCGACCCACATTAAAACTTCCATCATCTGCTTCATCTTGTTCTTCACGTTAACTGAAACCAGAAGACCCTAGCAGCCATGTGGATGAACATCGCCGCCAACAGTAAGGGAACCAGTGCCGCCTGAAGGAGGGAAGAGGACAGTGACAACGCCGGAAATCCAGCCCGCCTCCGGCATCTCTCCTCGTCGCGACACCAGGTTCGCCGCGAGAATTCTTAAACACGAAGCCGTGAGACAAAGACAGCAGCAGTGACTGGAAAAGAGAGTAGCAGTAGCATGATGTCGCTGGCGTCGCCTGAATGAGGGAATGGAGCAGCGACGTCGCCGGGGAACCCGCATCTCCTCTCCACAGCGCTAGTGACAGCCGCCGATCGCCCCTATTCGTGACACCTCCGCCGGCCGACGACCTCACTTACGGCAACTGAAGAGATTTATTTAACTTTCGCCGTCACTCCTGCCATCTCGTGGCCGCCGGCGACAACAACCGGAATTCTCGTATTTACCGGCGGAAAAAAAAAATGGCAGAAGGTGATTTCCAGATTTTCAGATTCAATAATTTTGAAAAAATCAAAAATTATGCTTAAGGCTCTAAAATTAATTAGAGCAAAATCAATTGTAATTAATTTATTAAAAATATACACCGTAAATTACTTAATTATATCCTGACTAAATAGATATATTTTGTATGTATATTTCAAAGAATTAATACACGAAACATATACAAATACTTATGTATATGAAACTTAACTTAATATTGATTTTAGGCATAACAATCAACCAGATAGAGATTATAATGGCTCTGATACCAAATGTTAGATATATACAATAGTCTAACTATAATAAATCATAGTATACGAAAAACCTGACCTCGTATGATAGCGGAAGCGTAGTCGTATGATAGCGGAAGCGAGTTGATGTTCCTGTTGTATTGCCTCTTAACGGTAGACCGTTAGCCATGTTTTGCCTCAGACCTGACTCAGAACCCTAGATGGTGTATTGGTGTCTACTGAGCAGTCTGAGTACCGTAACTGAATGTGTTAACATCCAACATCCTGTATCCCATCAATCCAGGATTATATTAGGCACAGAGTTTGGTTGACTAACAACTACTAGTTATTAAGTCCAACTAGACCACTTAATAAGCCTAGTCAACTTGCACCACTTAATTAAGGCCCTAATATATAATATATATTATTATTAGGGAAAATCTTACAAAGTATTGTTATGAACTACTTGTAAAATCAGCAAAACATCATTAATTATTATCAATTACATAAGTTGGCCTGGTGATATTGGAGTAAATGTTTGCAGATTACGAACTGAATGTGAATTAGTCTTAAATATTTAAGTTAATGACATTGGAATATATGTTTATAATATTTCTTCACAAAAAAGTCATATTCAGCGAATATATTTAATACACTATATTTATTATGCATTTTTATACATCCATTGTTTTTTTTTTGAATGCTTATACATCCATTGTTTAATTTCAATAATTACACTAAAAAAAAAACAAAAACAAAAAAAAAAACTCAGACGGTAACTGATTCACATAATTTTTAAAATATTTAGTTTTTTTTTTTGGTAGGGTGAAGGGGCCAATGACCCCTGGGTAGGAAAAAAAACAAGTTAAGCTACTCTAAGCGTTGTCACACCATTCACGTCATGAATCATCAAGCTGTTGAGATCTTTCGGAGCGTGAGTAAGGATTGTTGTTCTCCACGATGAGTTTTGTCCAAAATTAGAAAGGAAGTCAGCACATTAATTTCCTTCTCTAAGCACATGTGTGAGCTCACAAACGGTAAAATGTTGCATGAGAGTTTTACAATCCACAACAAGCGTGCCAGCTTCTAGGGATGATTCAGCATTCTTGTTGAGCACTTCAGTTAGTGCCAGAGAATTCACTTTTGCCACAAGATTGGTCACACCAAGGTCTTTAGCAATACATAGACCTTGACGAAGGCCCCAAAGCCTGCATGATAATATTTAGTTCCGTTGGTAATGTTAACTTTTTAGGTCGATCAATTGAAAACTGAAAAATGTTTTTTTTTTTTTAAGTTATTACTGGAAAATTCTTCATTTTCTAAAAATTATTTTTATTTTTTTGGGGATTTAGTTGAATTTTGTTTAAAAAAAAATATATAGTTAGTTGAATATATATATATATATATATATATATATATATATATATATATATATATATATATATATATATATTGTTCAGGTGAGGTCGCGCCTTAACTTGCGCTCGCACCAATAGTTATACAAATATGCACAACACAAATATGCACCATTAGGTACCCATCACAAAAAACTACACAATTAGTTATGTATAAAAGCACCACATACGATTCAGAAATGCACAATTAGGTGTGAGGAGTTATAGTGCATTATTTTGGGTGTGTTGTCCGTTTTTTGATATATTTGTGCATTTTTCTAACATTATTGGTGAATTTTTCAAACGACCGCACCAATAGTTAAGCAAATATACACCATCAACGTTAAAAAATGCACAACAAAAACACATACAAATTAGCTACACATCGCAAAAAACACACCATTAGATATGAATAAAAGCACCACACGGTGTTCGAAAATACACCATTAGGGGTAGGGAGTTAGATGGTGTATTCTTTTGTGGTGTGTTGTGTATTTTTTGGGTGTGTTGTGTATTTTTTTTGTGTATTTTTGTATTTCATTGTTGTGTATTTCTCATACACTATTGGTGCCTATTGTTAACATTGTTGGTGCCTATATGTGTATATGTATATATATATATATATATATATATATATATATATATATATATATAGGGTTCCATTCATGTACAAACCCCCTTAAAATACAAACTCATGGACAAATAGGGACCATTAGATTAGATTAGATCAAGGGAGTAGATTTATGAGGGAAAAGAAATGCCAACATCCTAAACTAATAGTATAAGGGCAGTTAAGACAATTGTATAGAATATTAATTATAGTAAAAATAGGATTTAGATATCCATCCTAAATTACAATACACTAATTACAGTCAGATTAGAAAATCAACACCACATAACACTCCATTCCAATCCCAACGCCCCAAACCCCAACCACCCCCAACCCCCACCCACGCACTCGCAAAAGCAACGTACGCGAAGAAAACTCCGGCGATTTAAGGCACCAACGACATCAACGAACGAGGTGAACCAGAGTAAAAAATGGATAATACGTCCGCATCACTACCAGGTAAAATTATCCCAATTTCATCACAATAGGTGAAGCATAGAACGTGATTATTGAATAGTATGTGGATTAGAAAATTGATGCGTCAAAATCAAGCATTTGTAAAGATGTGATAACACTACGCTGGGTTAAATGTGAACGATATGAACAATTGGACACATTAATCATGAAAATGATATGAACACAGTGATTTGATGAGAAAAAATTGACAATAATAAGTCACGCACACGTATAGAGAGTACACTGCACACAATGCAAAACCCCAGTAGGATTGCGAGTAAAGTCATGGGCAGAATTGCACCCGTAGTCCGTGTATCTCACATACATTATTCGTTATAATCCCTGGCACACATATGTAGGCAGCCGTGCACACCTTCACACCCATCCGTACGCATTTTAATTACCACCACACTAATACAAGCTTCATTCTATAGCAGAAGACTTAAAAGTGAATAACAATCCTAACACCTATTTGTTATGATGAATAGGTGAAGAGCAATCTGGACACGATGTGCACAAATGTGAAATGGAAATAGACAAAGACGGCCCAAAATATTGGAGGCCGACAACACCAAAAGAGAAGACACCATACGAAGGAAAGCGATTTGAAATAATAGAAAACGGGATTGATTTCTACCTAGCATACGCTAAGGAAGCAGGATTCGATGTTAGACACGGCACGAAGCGTAGAAATCGAAAGGGGGAAGTGTCAATTAAATACATGTTGTGCTCCAGAGAGGGTTACAAGGCCGAAAGGACAGACACCAACAACAGTTCAAAAAAACGAACGAGGCGAAGGAGAGTGTCTAACAGGATAGGATGTAAGGCACGTATGGTAATGACAAAGTGTGACACTGGAGGCTACAAAGTACACGCAATCAAGCTCCAACACACACACTGCCTATGCTCAGAACAGGGAAAACCTTTTTTAAAGATAAATAGGCAACTTGACATCACCCACAAAACCTTTTTGGCACACTGTGCAAAGGCAAACATCGGACCCACAAAAGCTTTCAGACTTTTCAAAGAGATGGTGGGAGGTTTTACGGATATAGGAGCAACATGCGTTGACTTCTGCAATTTTAGGCGCGACCTACTGGCGTATATAGCTGAGGCAGACACCCAAATGGTGATAGAAGACATGTACAAAAGAAAAGAGGAAAACCCGGACTTCTATTTCGATTTCGACATAGACGAAGAAGCGCAATTAACGAGGTTATTCTGGGCAGACGCGAAATCTCGGAGGAATTACGCATGCTTCGGCGATGTCATGTCATTTGATCCTACATACAGCACAAACAGGTACATCTCGATTCACATTACTAATTATTACCGCTGTGTGTGCATGCAGGGGAAAAAAGTGTGTGCAGCAGCAGAATGCATGGGGCAAAAGAAAATCATACATGCGTGACGTACAGGACTAGTGTGCACAGCACCGTGCATGAAACAAGTAGTACATTAACACGAAATGTGCACAATACTAATACCAACCGTGCTTACATTGCAGATACAAGTTAGTTTTCGTCCCTTTCACGGGGGTGGATAACCACAAAAGAAGCATTACATTTGGTGCCGGCCTGATTGCGAAAGAAGATGTAGAGTCGTATGAGTGGCTAGTAAAGAACTTCAAAAATGCGATGGAATATGCACCAAGATGTACAACAACTGATCAAGATCCAGCACTAAAGATAGTAGTGCCACAAACGATGCCAACAACAAGACACAGATTCTGTATGTGGCACATTATGACTAAAGTTGGGGACAAAGTAGGGGTTGCATTATGGCATAACACTGACTTCAAGAAAGCACTAAATAATACCATATGGGACGACACATTGAGCATAGATGAATTCGAGAGATCGTGGGAAATAATCATGAAAGACTACAACCTTCAAGACCATAGATGGTTTGCACAGCTGTATGAAGCGCGTGCATCATGGATACCAGCGTACTTCAACGACATACCAATGGGAGGACTACTTAGGACAACATCAAGATCAGAATCAGAAAACAACTATTTTGGGAGATTCACAAACCACCACTGCAGCTTGGTAGAATTCATAGCACAATACAACAGTGCCATCAGAAAACAGAGACATAACCAAAAAAAACTCATTGCAGAGAATGAAGGTTCGTACCCTGAAACTAAAACACCTTTGAGTATTGAGAAACACGCTGCTAAAGTGTATACCATCAACATATTCTATGAATTCCAACAAGAGGTATGGGAGGCCAGCTTCTCGTGCCACATCACCGACAAAAACAACGTGGGTGACATGGACTTACAAAGTTGAGGAAACGGGAGCAAAAATGTTTGAAGTCACCGAAAACCCAAAAAGGGCGAAAATTGAGTGTGCATGCAAGAAATTCAACCGAGTTGGTATACTCTGCAGGCACGCGATAGTTGTCATGAAGGCAAGAGGGTATGAAACAATCCCACAACAGTATATTGTATCCCGATGGACAAGAGACGCATGTGCACACCCGCTGTACGATGTACCGTGGGCAAAAGAACAAAATACCCCCACAACAAATGAAGCAACAAAAGTAGCCAATCAACTTTGGAGTGAATTCTACAACTGCATAGGACTAGCTAGTGGTTGGCCGAATAAAATGGACCAAATGCTAGCAACATTGCAACAACTGAAAAAGGATCTACAAAGGGAGAGACAACAAACCCAAGAGAATGGCAACAATGAATCTGTGTTCGAAACAGTACTAGGATCAAGTAGGCCAGAAGACATACAAATAAAACCACCAAAAGTTGCAAAGAACAAAGGAAGTGGGAAGAGACTGAAAAGCAATAAAGAGAAAGCAATCAGAAAGCAACAACAGAAAAAAGAAAGAACGTGCAATATTTGCGACCTCCCAAGCCACAACAGCCGCACTTGTCCAGATAAGGTAACACATTGTGAAGAATAGAATAGTGTTTATTTCAGAAGTACTGAACAATGCAATTTACATTACCATTATGAATCGTATTTATATCAAGCATACTTTTTATTAATAAGCAATTGTGTACTAAATAACAAAGGGTTACCTGCTATGCACACAAAGTACAATAAAGTTTGAGGAAAAAACAAAACAGTCTCCTATGCACACAACCAAAGAAAGCATGCGCACACAAGTAGTTGGGACTAAAAAGAACACGCAGCAAGCGCACACACGCCCCAACAGCAGTGCACACGTCTACCGTAAAATCCCACCACACCACGCGCACACACAGCCACAAAGTAGTGCACACGTGTTCGGTAACATCACAATATAAACGCTACGTTAACCGCCGTATGCGCACGCACATCGTAGTGGGGAGTGCAGACAAAACGTGCTAGTAACTAAACGAACTGAATTACGAGCAAAACGTAATAGCGAACATATGCGCACACAGGAAACCACAGAGCCGCACACACAACTAGATGGGGGTAGAGACGCAAACACCATGCAAGTGGCTGCATTAATACGCATTGCATTTAACCAAAAAATAGCGGAAATAAAACAACTGCATGGCAGCCTATACACGGAAAGACTACAGCAGTCGATAACACCATACACTCTCAAAACACTGCCAAACAAAAACACTTAATCAAAAACCCAACACGAGGTAGTAATCTAACCCCATACGCACATAATATAAAAAACCCTCAATTCGAGGAAAACGTAGCAGCGAACATATGCGCACACGGCAAACCCACTAGTCGCAACACACCCAGATTGGGCAGAGACGCAAAACACATGCAAGTGGCCAGATTAATACTCGTTGCATATTATCAAAAAATAGAGTAAATAAAACAACTCCATAGTAGCCTATATGTGTTCAGACTACGGCAGCGAATAACCACATACACTCCCAGAACACTGCCAAACAAAAACACCTAATCCAAAACCCAAAACGAGCACAGCAATCTAAACCCATATGCACAAAATACCAAAAACCCGAACATGAGTTGCTAAATAGTACAAATGTCTACACAGGCGGAAGAGGAGCAGATATGGACTGGTACGCTTTAAAAAGATTGTGGTGCCTGTGCACATTATACTCAGAACTCACAATCTCCGACATGTAACGTAGCCTGAGCTTGTGCAACGTAGTAGTGTCCCCCTTCAGTAGGCCACACTCCCAATCACGAACACGCTGGTCAACATACGACTCCATATGCCGCATGAGAAAAACCTCGCAATCAATCTGATTCTTGGAATCCCGCCAAGGCATTTGCAAGCGCTTCGATTCCACACAAACACACGCATCAGATCGGGAAGGAGAACTAACTTCAAAGAATTTAGATAGCATCCCCATCTGAAATCCAAAACACAATAACCATTCACAAAACAGTCATACTAGAGACAAAGGCAAAGATCAACCAACAAATAGAATACGCGGGGGGAAGGGGTGCAAAAAGAGCAACACTAACCAAATCCTCAACACAATCACCATATTTGACCGCCTTTGCCGTGGGATAAGAATCATTGTCAATAATCTCATAACGAAAACACGGGAAATCAATGCACAGGCAGAAATAGTGACCATGCCGCAGAATAGGGAAAAACATCTACACACGAGAAAGAAAAAACCATATGGGTGTGGTTTAGTTGCGCACATAAATGATATACCAACGCATAAAATGGCGAATGTGCATATAGGATATAGGTTCTGTGCGCATGCAGTACCATGAAAAAAACACACCACACCACATAGAAAGAGAAAACCAGCCATACCATGTCAACTTCAGTAGTATTTGGATAAGGTGACAACTCAAAATCCATCGCCAACCACTCAGAAAACCAAGCCAACCTCTGCTTCTCAGATTGGGAAGTATCAACAACGGTAGTCAACTAAAAAACCCAGAAACAAAAAATCCCATGATCAAAACAAATACAGAAAAAGGAAAACAAATCCACTAACAATAAACAGCAAAGAACTAGATGGAATTGAAACTAACCGTCGTGAACGTAGAAGCAAAAAGGCGTGACGGTGCCGCACGAGCCTTCCTAGCCTCACGACGATTCAAAACAGCTGCCCACGCATCTATAACGCCCACGTCAACCGCAGAACCTGGGGTCAGCGACAACAAACTCTCCCACGACACAATTCGTTCACCAACACAAAATATAGTTTCGGCCCTAATTTAGCCAAAGTGTGAGTGCAAAGAAAAAGAGAAATATGCAAACCACAATAAGAAACACAACAGGTGAACTCACATGTCAGCAGGCGAACCCCCCAGTAACCAATTAACTATTAACGCATCCTCGGGGAGCTCAGGCATGGGGAACGCAACAGCCTCACGAGCGCCAGACGGCTGATACTGAAGCGGAGCAACCACAACTGGGGGAAACGACCCAGACGGCTTAACGGGACGCACCGCTTTAACCGGAGCCGCACAACCCGGGCCATCGGACAAAGTGGGCTCAGAAACCACATTCACTATAGGGCACACCTGCCATGCAACAAAGAAATGAGGGAAGAAAACCACAAACCAATCCCAGACATACAATGAAATAAACCACTCCTAAAATCCAAATGCCACGCACAGTTACACATAAAAGATAGCACACGCCATCCACATGACGATTACAATGAGCTACAAATATGACCGCTAAGGACATATACAACAAAACGAGAGTACATATAAACTAGCATACTCCATGATAACCAAACACAAAAAAGAAAAAAAAAAAATAGAAAAAAAGGACTATCGTGCACATGTACAAACATAAAGAAGCACACAAGAACTAAACAAACCAACCTCAACCGGGGTAGTGAACTGCGTGCAGTCCGACATTGGGGAAACACGCACACCTGACGGAACATCTACAACGGCATCATCACCCCGGTCCGGCACAAGAACCTCTTCCTCTAACGCCTCACCACCAGCTAGATTAGCACACACAACCCCCACCACCTGCAAGGGAACAGATAGAATATATTACATCCGCCACAACAACAAAAAGCAACACCTAACATAACACATCCAAAGTATAAGAAAACGAAAACAAAAAATATACCTCATCCACAACATTAACACAATCATGCTCAGCACCCATACACTCCACAGCAATATTGTTACCCAACCCAGGACCCGCATCAGACCCACCGGCATAGACACCACCACCCCCCTCAAAATCTTGAGTCAACCCAAGGCTGAAAGACGGAATGTCACTCAATCGCACAGCATCAACAATGTTCCGAAACTCAGCATCCAACTCCCGCAAACGCGACTGAATAGGACCATACAACCGACGACAAACCTCCTGCTCCATAACCCTACCACGAGCAATTGCGAACAACTCGGACAACCCCCGAATGGAACTCGAAAACACGGCAGCAAGATCACCAACAACACATTCAAAAGTCTAAAGAACCACAAAACAAAAAAAAAAAAAGAACCAGGCATCATCATGAACCAATAATGCACACTGAAGAAGAGTAATGTGCGCACCAGGCAAACCGAAACGTGCACTGCCTAGTGAAATAAAAAGAGGTGGCACAACCAAACGTACACATGTGCACAAGAAGCGAAACGTGCGTGCATCGGTAACCCAAATAAAACAGCAAAGTAATACAACACACACCATACAAAACACAAAGAAACAAAAACCCAAAAAACAAAAACAAATAGCTTACCTTGGGCCCAAATTCAGGATGAAGCTCATCATCACCATCCGCCTGCAACACAACTACCGGGGGCTCAATCACCCCAACCCCAAAACCACCCCGGCCTATCACCGCAGTCTCCCGGGCAGCTAGCAACTCAGACGTCCACCCCCGAAATGTAGGAACCAAACGAGGAACAGAACGCTCAAACGGCAAAACCCGGTCAACATTTAAAACAACTGAAATATAAACACACCAAATTAAAGGCAAAATGATAAACATAAATACTTAACGCGCAAAGGAAAAATAGGACCATACCGCCACAAACTCAGCAGGCCCAACGAAGCACTTATGCCGCCCAGATTTCCAAGCATCCTGCGTCTCTACCAACGAATCCAGAAGAAGCTTGCACCAATTGAGATCACGAATGCATCCAACATCATCAAAACAATGGAAATACATCTGATTCGCATAGCCATTGCTCATAGAAGATACCAACGTGGAGACAACTAACATAGAGAAATGCCTCTTAAACCATACCCCACCATCCACCTCACCCATAACCTTATCTGCAATAAGGGACGCAGTCACCGTATGTCTGACCTTCTCAAACAAACCCCTCCAATGTTTCAACAAGTTACTAATATGATGCTTATCACGCTTCATCATCTCGATAGGTCCACGTGGAAATCCCAACACCAACTCAACATCCCGCTCATTCACAGACAAAGATCTATCGCCGCCAAGGTCAAAACTCCTAGCCTGCCCATCAAAATTACTTAACAGCCAATGCAACAAGCGAGGAGGACACTCAGCCACCTTGAAATCCAACAACGCCCCGAAACCCAAACTCCTAATATCATCCTTCTGTTGCATCGACAAGTCCACAAGCGCATCAACAAGAGCCGCGGCTTGGGCCCGAAACTTAACAGTAGGAAAATGTAATTCCTCTTCAAACGCATCCCCACCACCAGGAGCAACATCAGGGGCATTCCACAGCGGGTCTTGTTCCAATCTCGCCAAAAATGCCAAGGGCGAAGAAACAAAGTCATCATCACTCACAGAACATACAGCCCCACTAGGAGCACACTGCACCCCCTTGGCCTTCTTACCTAGCAAAAGAAGAAAAAAAAAAACCCATATACACATGAAGCTAAGAACCACCCGAGCACACACGAACCAATCGTAAAGCACACATCGAAACACAATGCCACATATTAATACCCAATAAAATTGCAATAACATTGGAAATATTTAACGGAGCAATAAATCGAATTAAAACTGCGAAAACACAATAGTAAGGATTAAAACGACCCATATCGAAAACACTAAAACTGATAGGTAAATTCTATATTACAAATAGAATTAAATTCTATATTACAAATAGAATTAAATTCTTGGTCTTTCAATTTTGTGTAAAAAAATAAAAAATCAATTATCCATCTCATTGCATGAGCATCTATAATTCTATATTACAAAAATGTAACTCTAAAACAATTGGTTCTGGAACTTCATTCTAACTTTAAATAAATATGCAAAATTATCGAAGTGGAGCATGAAGGTAAGAGACAGATCCATGGACATCATTAGAGGCTAGGTTGTAATGATAATAAAATTCCAGGGAAAGATTTTTATAGTGTTACTATAGGGATATACTAAGTTTGCTATTTTTCAAGACAATGGTTGAAATAAACTCTGACACCCATAGGGTGTTTTTTTTTTTTTTGAAAATATAGGGTGTTTAGTTAGCCATGATAAGTGTGGATGTAATGTTTTGATAGTTATACTAGCTAACTGCACGTAGCATGTTCTTACTTCTTAGAATGTATTCTATGTTAGTCAGTATCTGAGGCAGGTGATAATATATTGAATGAGATCTCTTTTCCTGACTGTCTAACTAATTTTCTATTCTGCAGGTGCCTTTGTGTCTATTGAGATGTTAACTTAAGAGTATAACCAAACCCAACATTTCCCGCATGTGACATGATTTAACTTAACAGTATAGAAATGCAAAATTTAAACCTGAACATAGATATAAAATACCAAACCCAAACCCAGGACATGTTTGCCAAACAAACTATGCAGATAGTCAACTCAGTCACGCTGAACATTCGTAATGATTAAAGCAACAAAAAAAAAAAGCCCTGCAATTAAGATAATGGAAAACCCACGGACAAAATGCAAACACCATAGTGCAATTAAGCTAATGGAAAACCCATAGTAAAATTAAAAGAAAACAGCCGTGCAAAAAAAAAAAAAAAAAAAAAAAAAAAAAAAAAGACAAACTCCCATCAGACGCACAGCCCCCCAACTAACCCCCATACACCGCCGGTACAGTACCCCAACCTGGACACAAAACCAAACCCCAAACCCCCTGGACACCGGCGCACCGCCGTATATCGCCGACGTGCCCCCAAGCCAACCCCATACCCTGCCGCAACACTCCCCCACCCGCCACAGCAAACCCACAAACAAAAACCCTACCTCAACAACCCCCCACACAGAAACAACACAAAACGATGCCACACAAGACCCAGAACCCCACACCACTAAAAACCCTAGTGGCCAAATCCGGGCAAAAAACCCAAATACCCAAACCCCGCCCCACAAAAATCACCGCTATGAGACAGAGAACACCTAAATCACCCCGATTATTCCCAAACAATGCAGAAAAAGACAAAACCCCCCCACAAAAAAAAGCGAAAACGACAAACCAACTAACCTCGAGCGACAACCGGTGGAGCCCGCCTCTTGACTGTGCCTCGGTCCCCCCCGACAACCATGGCTACGTGGAATCGAAGAAGAGAGAAGCAAAGTCGTGGAAGAAACGCATGACGCGGTGAAAGCAGACACCTCCTACGCACGAGAATAAAGAAAACGGCGAAATATAAGAAAATACGTGCACGTGAAATTACACACTAAAATCTGTGTAGGATTAAAACATTAGTAAAATACCAAACATACCCCCCTTAACATAAAAACCCATTAAAATACAGAATTCACTACGCGGGAATCACAGCCATCAAAATGCTAGTTTTGATGGCCCAGATTAGTCCACAAGTTTGTACTTTAAGAGGTGTTTTCACCTGAATGTAATTCTATATATATATATATATATATATATATATATATATATATATATATATATATATATATATATATATATATATATATATATATAAGACGGATCAGGTGAGAATCAAGTGTCCAGGAGAGAACTGAGAACCAATAACAGCCGTTCACGGGTACAAATCGATCTAACGGATCAGAAATATTGTTTAAAAAAACGTAGTGATATTTTCGTAAATAATTGAACTTTGAAGTGCAAGTAAATTTTGTTAAAAGTGAAAATAACAGTTTCATATAGTGTACCTAAGTGCCAATAAAATGTATTAAAAATGCAACAAATAATGTACTCTGGATGAGAAAGGGATCGATTGATTATTCAGTTACAAGAAAGAGAGAACCTTAAATACAAGAAGAGAGAGAGAGAGCTATCTATCAGGCTATTGACTAGATCACTAACAGAATAAATATTTATTAAATACATAACAAATATATAGTCTAATACTCCCCCTCAAGCACAAGGTGTGTAAGCAACCACATTGAGCTTGTCACGAAAAACGGTGAACCGAGCTGCTGGCAGTGGCTTGGTGAAAATATCTGCAAGCTGGTCCTTGGTAGACACAAAATGAACCTGGAACTCCCCTGCGGAAACCTTGTCACGGACAAAGTGGTAGTCAACCTCAACATGCTTGGTGCGAGCGTAGAAGACCGGATTCGCACATAGGTGGGTAGCTCCAAGATTATCACACCACAACGTGGGTGGTGTAGTGGAAGTTAGGCCAAGATCCCGTAACAGAGAGACCACCCAGGTGACCTCAACACAAACATCAGCAAGACCCTTATACTCAGCTTCAGTCGAAGAACGAGCCACTGTTCGTTGCTTCCGAGAGACCCAAGAGACCAGATTCTTCCCAAAGAACACGGCGTAGCCACTGGTGGACTTGCGATCAACTGGACAGCCAGTCCAATCAGAGTCCGAGTACGCGTGTATATCAGAAGACACCGACGTGGTAATGCGTAGACCGTACTCCAAAGTGCCTTTAACATAACGTAGGACGCGCTTCAGTAGGCCCCAGTGTTCATCAGTCGGTGAATGCATAAATTGGCAGAGCCGGTTGACAGAGTAAGATAAATAAGGTTGAGTGATGGTAAGATATTGAAGAGCACCAGCTAGACGGCGATATTGAGTTGGGTTGGCAAAAGAGTCAGTTGTCTGACATACCGGCTGAGTCACAAATGCAGGAGTGGCTAAGGCTTTACAGTCAGTCATGCCGGCTCGCTGTAGAATATCCCGAATATAACGCCATTGAGACAGTACCATACCATTCGGAACAGTGATGGTTTCAATGCCAAGAAAGAACGTGGGTTTCCCAAGGTCTCGAATCTTGAACGCTGTCGCTAGCTGTCGCAGCAATGAATTAACCAAGACCGTATCATTCCCGAGCATAATTATATCATCCACATACACAAGCAGAAAAACTCTGGACTCTGAAGCTGTGTAGTGGAACAGAGAGACATCTATCTTTGAAGCAACAAATCCTGTGTGAATCAAAAAATCATGCAATCATTTGAACCAGGCCCGGGGTGCCTGTTTCAACCCGTAGAGAGATCCCTGTAAGTGGCAGACATGATCGGGGCGATCGGGGTCTTCATATCCAGGCGGCTGCCGCATGTAGACAGTTTCAGCCAGATGCCCATTCAGAAAGGCATTGTGGACATCCAACTGTCGGAGTGTCCACCCACGGGAAATGGCTAAAGCTAGCAGTAGCCGTACCGTAGTCGATTTTACAACTGGGCTGAATGTCTCGAAGAAATCTTCGCCTGCTACCTGATTGTAGCCTTTGGCGACTAACCGGGCTTTGTAGCGCTCCACGGTGCCATCAGCATTTCGCTTGGTGCGAAAAACCCATTTGCACCCTTGATGTTATCACATCTTTGCTTGTTATTATAGTTATTTTGAATCATCTCAGTATTTAAGTTCTTTAATTTTGCTAATTTAATACATATTTTCCTTGCTATTATCATTTAATTATGGTTCACACTTGTTTTGAATGTTTTACGGTGTTTGTTAGTGTTTTTGAACCATTGTAGGTCAATTCTATGAGCAAGGGAAGTTCAAGGATAAGTTCGGAGCAATTTTGGACTAGTTCAGGTACCAGAAGGCTCGACGCGTCGAGCCTTTGTCGAAAATTTCCAGAAAGTTTGGTGATCGGGGCCTGCTGGTCTCGACGCGTCGAGCGAAGGCGCGGAAATCAGAAGCAAAGGGGCAATTCTTTATTTAAATATAGGAATTATAATTTGAGTCCAATTTTATACAAGATTCCTATTGCATCTCAACTTTGCACCCACTATAAAATCCCTCCTTCCTCAACCCTAATAACAGGACGAAGACCGAGAGAATTCAGAGATTCTTGGAGACAAGAAGGAGAGAAATCAAGAGCCACAAGTTGTCTTGGGAAAGCAAGAAGAAGACTAGGGAGATTTGGGAAAATCGTCTGGTTAATTCTTGTACTCTTTTGATGATTTGTAATTCTTTATTTATATTTGCTATGTATAATTTAGTCATGCTTGGCTAAATTCTTTAGAGATTCTTGGGTAAAAGTGTTTATGAACCTATGTGCCTGAGCTCTCAGTTTCTTTAAAATATTATTATTTGGGTTTAATACTTGTGTTGCAATCGTGATAATATTGTTTGATGCTTGTAATTAATGGCCATAGTTACTAGCTTCATAGCCATGTTTGTGTCACCAATGGGAGTTGGGGCATAAATTAGGGCACACACGATTGCACCTAATGGTTGGTCCTTGGGAAAGGGGAACTTATTAGGGGAAGTTTATTCTAGATTATTGCTCATCGGAAGATGGTAGTAATTAGGAATAATTGAATGCTGATCTTTGATCTTATTGGGTGTTTAAGCCATGGGAGTGGAAATTCACTAGGAATAGAGATTACGGGAGTAATTCGATTCCACTTTGCATTCCCACACAAACCTTAATTCCAAACTAAATATTGCAAACGATAATTGGCACTAGGTGATTAAATACTTGAATCCCATGAATCTCAACTTCTCTCTAATTGTTTTCAAAATCCTGAACCTCTGTTTTGTTTTATTTATTTTATGCCAATCAATCATCTAAGTAATTGTTAGGATTAGCTCTAATGAATAAGTTAGTAACTAGTGCTTGATACAACCACTTCCCTGTGGATCGATAACTCGTACTCCGAGAATTATTTATTTGCAAATATACTATGCATCAAATTGGCGCCGTTGCCGGGGAGGTGGCGTTACGTACTGACATTAGTGAAAGTCTTACTTTAGGAGTCTAGTCCAATTTTTTTTATTTTATTTATTTTATTTATTGATTTATTTTATCTGCTAATCCATAACAAGTTTCTTGTTCTTGAGTGTGATTTTGCTTTTAATCTAAGAACCTGGCTTTTTATGCATACACGATCTCGTGGGAAAGAAGGATTATTACCTTTGAATCTTGAGATTGAGAAAAGAGCCAAGTTTCTTAGGAAACAAACTAGGATGGCACAGGTACAAGAAAACCAAGCTGAAGGGAGATCAATGTCTGACTACCTTGCTCCGGATGTTGAGGATCATGGTAGCATCAATATTCCAAATGTAGAGGCCAATAACTTTGCGATCAATCCGGCCATACTCAGCATGGCTGCGGCAGATCGATTTGGAGGGATGCCCACGGAAGATCCCAATGCTCACGCCACCAAGTTCCTACGACTTTGTGGCACTTTCAAGATAAATGGAGTCACTTAAGATGCTGTCAGACTTAGGCTTTTTCCCTTTACACTGAAGGACAGGGCTGAAGATTGGTTATCCTCACATCCAGATAACCATTTTGACACTTGGGACAAATTACATGGAGAATTTTTGAAGAAGTTCTATCCTATCTCCAAAACTCAAAGGATGAGAAGGGCAATTCAAAACTTTAAGCAACTGGCAACCGAGTCCCTCACTGAGTCTTGGGAGAGATTTAAGGAATTGAAGAGGCAATGTCCACACCATGGATTTCAGAGTTGGGATTTGATGATGTCTTTCTATGAAGGATTGCTGGATAATTCTAGGATTTTGGTGGATGCTTCTTCGGGTGGTTCGTTCACGATTCTAGAGCCAACACAAGCCGAGGAACTATTGGAGAAAATTGCTATGAATGGATCTACTTGGTACACGGAGAGGTCTCCACAAAAGCTTGTAGGAAGAATTCATGATGCTGGGCAGTTAGCCGATTTGTCAACAAAGTTGGATAATGTGGTCTCCTTGGTTCAAAAACTTGCCCAAGTCACCATCCAAAATCCCAATGTGAGTCATGTTTCTAACCCTCCTACTCTTGGACGAGTTTTGATGTGTGAACTTTGTGGTGGTGGACACAAGTCAGGGGATTGTATCGACGAGTTAAATTCCCAAACCTCTATGGAGCAAGTTAATATGTTGGGATATAATAGGCCTCATCAACAGTCTTACCAACCTCAAGGGACCTACCATCCTAATAATTCAAGGAACCATCCCGGCTTTTCATGGAGCAACCCAATGGGAGCTGCCAACCCTCAACACTTTGCTAATAGAGGTCCTCTGGGTTTTCAAGGTACTCAGGTTCAATCTAAATTTCCCGTTTCAGAGGCCCCACCACAATCGAATACGGAAGTTTTGTTGGAAAAATTGATTAAAGGTCAGTTAGAGATTACAGAAAGGATGGATAAAATGGAAGCTCGCCAAAATATGGTTGAAAGGCAATTAGCAAATCAACCTTCTATATCAAGTACTAAAGTCACAGGGAAGTTGCCAGCTATGCCTGAAAATCCAAGGGAGCATGTAAATGCAATTGTTACAAGGAGTGGCAAAGTACTTGAAGAGCAACCTCTTCCAATCAAAGCATCAATTCCTAAAAAGACAGTTGAGGAGAAGATTGAAGAGATACTTGATGGTATAGAAGATGAGCCAATTGCTGTGCAAAATAATCCACAAGTTCAAAAGGAAGTAGAGAAACCTGTGAGAAGGTATGTACCCCCATTGCCTTTTCCTCAAAATCTTGAAACAACAGAAAGTAGGTGGAAAAAGTTTTTGGAGATTGTTGAGAGTTTGAAAGTTTCAGTTCCCTTACTTGATTTGCTTTCACAAGTTCCCTCTTATGGAAAATTTTTGAAAGAGATTCTAGCTAAGAAAAAGAAATATGGGGAACGAGAGATGGTAGCTGTGGCACAAGAGTATCAAGCGTTGACCCCGGGAATTGGGAGGAATATACCTAAGCATAGAGATCCGGGGAAGTTCACAATTCCTTGTGTGATTGGAGGCCGACCTTTAAAGGGATCCCTTTGTGATTTAGGAGCCAGTGTGAGTGTTATGCCTCTTACTCTTTGTCAAGGGTTAGGGTTGGGAGAACCAAAACCAATCCAATTCACCTTAGAAATGGCGGATAGATCCATCGTAAAGCCTATTGGAATTCTTGAAGATGTCCCAGTTCGTGTGGACAAGTATTTTGTGCCTTGTGATTTTATTGTGATAGATGTCCGAAGGAACCTAGACGTTGCACTCATTTTGGGGAGACCCTTCCTAGCCACTATTGGAGCAATGATTGATGCAAGGAAAGGGTCCATGATTTTTGACTTTGGGGAGGAAAAGGTGGAATTTAATGTTCTTGATGAGCCAAAAATCATTGAATGCAAGTCAATTTTGCACATCGACCCTACTCTCAAGGTGACACATGATGAGTATTTGCATTTGAAGAGTCTATGGGGTGATGATATCAAACTCGCGGATCAACCAGGATGAGCATTATATGGTAATTTTTTATTACTACTACTACTACTACTACTACTACTACTACTACTACTACTACTACTACTACTACTACTACTGCTACTGCTGCTACTGCTACTACTGCTACTACTGCTACTACTGCTACTGCTACTGCTACTGCTACTGCTACTGCTACTGCTACTGCTACTGCTACTGCTACTACTGCTGCTACTACTGCTACTACTGCTACTACTTGCACATTGTTGAGCCTTTCTGAGCATATTGTTGTGTCTTCCTGATCACATTGTTGTGTCTTTCAGATCATATTGTTGTGTCTTCAGGAACATACTGTTTTACCTTCAGAGCACATTGTTGTGCCTTCGAAGTGCATATTGTTTTGCCTTAGAGTACACATTGTTAAGCATTTAAGCAGGGAGGATATGAAGGGAATCCTTAGTCTGTATGAAGCAACATACCAATGCATGGAGGGTGAGAGCATTATGGAAGCAGCCCAACGTTTCTGCACTAAAAATCTTAGAGAAATCCAAAACATGAACGTCATATTAGATCAAGATCTGGTGGACCATGCTCTAGAAATGCCACTATACTGGAGGATGCAGAGGTTTGAAGCAAGATGGTTCATATCCGTTTATGAAAAGAGGCACAACATGAATCCAGTTTTGTTGGATTTTGCTAAACTGGACTATAATATGGTTCAAGCCAAATATTTGGAGGAATTAAAGCAAATGTCTAGGTGAGTGCATGTGCATATTGTTAGTTGGTCCTAAAAGAGGTAAGGTGAAAGTCTAGAGGGGGGGGGGGGGGGGGGGGGGGGGGGGGGGGGGAGGTGAATAGACTTTCAAACTTTTTAGCACAATACGACAATTGGTAAGCCAGAGATAAACCAAGACTCTTAACTAGATTGTTAGAGTCCGGTTTACAGCGGAAATAATAAACGTTACGGTGTGTGTGTAGATCGTGTCAAGATTATTCTCGTGAGAAGCAACCAAGAGCAGTAAGTAAAGAAAGCAGTAAAGAACACAAAGCAATTTATAGTGGTTCATGAGGTGATGTAATCCTCCTACTCCACTTGCTCTTATCTCCAAGAGCCAATTCACTATATCCACCACTTCTTGGTTCCAAGATACAATGAATTTCCGTGATCTAGTGCTTTGATCACTAAGCCCACACTAATCACGCCCAGTGCCTCCAACACTGCTGCTTCGGGTTTCACGTCGCCCGCACTAATCACGCCCAGTAGAAACGTATCCCGTGATCTAGTGCATTGATCACAAAGCCCGCACTAATCACGCCCAATGTCTTCCGACACTGCTGCTTCGGATCTCACAACTCCGTGTGACAATCCAGGATTTCACAACTCCGTGTTACTTTCCTCCTTTCCCTTGTTTTGCTCCAAAACAAGTTTTGCCTTGCTTCCAACTTTGAGACTCTGTAGATGATCTTCGATGATGCTCTTAGTCTCTTGAAGTTGATGAAGATTTCAACACTCTTGGATATTTCTTTTCTAAACTCTGTATCGCTCGGAGTGTTTATCTCACAAAAGATATATCAATTTTAGCTCTTGAGATGGAAAACTTTCTTTGAATTTTCGTATGCTCTGTTTAGCTCTGTTCTTTGCTCTTTGTATTCTTACTTCTCTAATTGCTTCTGCTTTCCTCAGCTTCAATCTTCATCTATTTATAGCCGGTAATGAGAATCCGTCCGTTGGAAAGAAACGGTCTCATTTTTGAATTTTATCTAGCTGTATAGCCTTTTGTCAGAAGATAAGATAACGTTGCAGATATGTCAGAGATTTCAAGTTGAGTTTGAGGTTTTAGCAAAAATGGCGTCCCATGAATCTCCATCTGGTGTAGATCACGCCTCTTGGGATTTTTATCTTCAAAATATAATCTCCAATATAATCCCTTACTAGTTAGACTAGTATTTTTGCTTCTGCAACTTCTTCTCATATTTTCCTATAATCCCTTAATCCCTTACTAGTTAGACTAGTATTTTTGCTTCTGCAACTTCTTCTCATATTTTCCTCTGTTATTTCACGTCTGGCTGCTTCCAGACTTGGGAAATCTCTTCCCTTGTGAAACTTCATCCCTTGCTAGATTTGTCAATTGAAATCTCATCTTACTTGAATTGGAATTGCAATCCCATCCCTTGCAAATTATATCTCGAATTGAATTGAAGCCCTTGTAAATCTCATCACTTCAAATTGAAATTGCCTTCCCTTTGAGATATCAATTTTGAACTTCAATCCTTCGGGTTACCAATTTAAAAAACTTCATCCCTTAGTCAATTTGGAAATCTCATCCTCTTTGAAATCTCATCGACTTTGCAAATTGCATCCCTTCGGCCAAACCATCGCCTCATACTTAATCTGATGGAATTAAACTTGGCTTCTTTAAAATATGTGGGATGTGAAATTTGAACCTATGACCTTGCACATAATATTTCAAGCTTCTACCATCTCGTCCGTACAACTTTTTAGTCATCTTCTTGTTTCACTTGGTGTACTCCTTTCTTTTCATAGATGCTTGATCTTCAAGATAGCTTCATGCAAACTTCAAGTCACGTTCTTTCTTCTTCGGGATTTCTTGAGGGATTTCTTCTTGAATTTCATACGCATACATCTTCCTCTTCTGTTTGCCATTTTCTCTAGACAAATTCTTGATTTTTGGCTTGATATCTTCTTCATCCATTTCCTCAACTAATGAATTTATTTTTCCCTTTCTTGGTCTATGACTCGACTAGTCTAATAAAATAAAATTGGGGATCTGCGATTTACAATATGGCATATCAAAATCTATTACAATTTATTCCTAACAATTTCTCCCCTTTTGATAATGTCATAACCTATACTCAAACATTGGCTTTAAGTCTTTTTAAAAAATATTTTATTTTTGCTCAATTTTATTTTGACAAAGCCAAGATGAGTTTGACAAAAATAATTCTAGGGAAAAAAAACTTTGTGAATTAATTTAGACAAGTCCTATACGCATCCTTGATTAATTTTAATCAATTTTTATCTTTTCAATTTTGCATGCGTTTAACAACTCTTGTCTTTTAATTCACCAACTATTACATGATAGCCAAAAATTAAATCATAAACATACTTAGATCAGACCAAGGGAATTTTTATTCATATTAGTCGATAGAGGAAATAATATTGTAGCCAAAATCATAGAAATTCAAAACATCATATTCTTGAGGAATTTATGTTTGATTACCTTCTGGGTTTCTTGACTCCCATGTCTGCTTTCAATATATCCTTGATGTGTTCTCTCAACTTGCATACATCGTTCTCGAATTTTTCACATTCAAACCTTTTAGTCACTTTCCCAACCATATAATGTCACATTCAAACCTTTTGATGTACGGGAGAACTCTGGCTTCCCACCAAATTATGCATTCTTCAAAGCTTCTTTGGAATCCCAAATTTTCTCCATCATTGTTGGTATGATCTCTAAGCTCGTACCACATTTTGGTTCGCTTTCTTTTCGCTTCTTCTTCTTTATTCTTGTCCGAAATCCATTGAGCTTGATCAGCTTTTGGCCATCTTTTCACCATACTCGGCACATTCTCGGATGTCCAGATTTTCTGTGGTGTTATGGTTCCCTTTGAGCATTCGAACCATCCTCGAGTTTCGGCCACTTTTGATGAGCTTGATCCAAGACTCGGATTTGCAAATTGAGCGAAACCAACTTGGGATTGTTGACCACGTCCTCGGCCTCGGCCTTTTGTAGGTGCGACGGTCAAAACTGGCTGTTGTGATTGATTTCCAAGAATGAATTCTTGTTGTTGTAAAGCCAGATGATTGAGCATCTCTTCCCCCCTTATGGCATTATCAACCAAAAAGCTAAGGGATTTGGAATCCTGTTCTTGATTGGCTTTCACAACTTTAACACCATCATGTGTTTTGAGAGAAACATCCTGCAAAACAGACAATTTATTAGCCATAGAGGATAATTCCACCGCAAGGTGATTTATCCTTGTCTCTTGATCTTGTATGGCCTTAATTTGTCTCAAGTGTCTTTCACTGTTAATCTTCTCGGTAGCTTCTCGTTCCTTCTTCATAAGCTTGATGATCTCCAATAATCCTTCTGTGAGATCTCCTTTCAAGTGTCTTTCGGCCCTGTTAATTTTTGTCTGCAAAGTGTTTTGATATTCCAAAAGCTCCTTCAAATTTGTTCGTGTGTCCTCATAATGTTGCAAAGAGAGATGTCCTTGCTCGGTGAGAGTATTTCTAATCTTTTGACACACAATATCACTTGATTCAGTGACTTTTGCAAACAAAGAAACCAACATATCATCTTCATCTTCTTCTCGGGTTCGGCTTCCACTCATGTTCAGAGAGTGTAAACTCTTGAATAAATTTCTTCGTGAATCACCAAGGACTGGATTTTCAATGATTAGCAAATTTTCTTCTGGTGATTCGGCTTCTTTAAGATGATTTTCAATTTCTTCTTCAATCACCTCTGTTCTTGAAATAATCTCTGTATTTAAATTAGCTTCCAGAGAGGTGTTTTGAAGTGACATCATAGGGGTGTTATTGTGCACTGGCGCTTCATACAAACATTCCCCCCAATTGATGGTCTGATTTCACCATCAATTTGGTCTCTTAATTCATCCTTGTAGGGTCCATTTTTTGACTTTTGACCATACGTGATGAGGAAGTTTTGTTCATTTTATGGTCTTTTTAAATGGGGTAGGAAATATGATTTGTTCCAAGCACAGCCAACCCAACATTTTTATTTATTACTCCTTTAATCAGGAGTACAAAAGAGGATCACAAAATACATTCTTCGACAGCACAACCACATCAACTGCGATTAGTGGAACAACATTCATCTTCACTGTTGTCCGAGGCAGTGTGTGGAGGAGATGGGCAGTACCCTGGTCCAGAATCTTCACTGTGCATGTTCGAGCTTTAGGACGAGTACGTTGCATTGAAGAACCTCGTGTAGTCCACAGGTGGACAGATGCGGGGATTCACCGGTGGTGGAGGTTGTTGTAGAACAAGTTCTGGTGGAACTGGTGGTAGATCATGTCCCACTTCCGGTGGTGCATCATACTGAACAGGTGGTGCAAGAGGTTCATGAGAGATTCCTTCAAAACCAGGTGGTGGCAAGACCGGTCCAAATGTCAGTTGCTTCAGATAGTGGAGGTATTCGGTGTTGCTCATGTTCAAGATCTCCTGGTAGATGTCCGGCTGCACAACAGGTGAAAACTTCAGAAAAGGGGATTCAGACCCTTTGGACTTCTCTGGTTCGGCTAAGCCTTGACACGGTGGTGACAGGCTTTTCTTGGCATCTCCTTCTTCATAAATAAAACCTGGTTCTCGTGGTGGTGAGACAGGTGTATAATTATACGACAAGAGGGTCGTTTGCAGTGTCTCAAACAAGATGTCCTCCAGCCTCAGTCCTTCTTGCTCGCAACTTTTGGAGTCGCACTTGATTCCAGATTCTCTTGGACGTTCGCCTTTCTTCATTATTCTTATCACTCTTCGACACCATGGTTCTCCTGCAAAAAAAAAAAAAAAAAAAAAAAAAAAATAGGCTACTTGCACGGTTTGGATTGCCAATATATATAGGCGTGAAAAACGTCTGAGGGCTTCAGGGATTATGGTCAACAGTTGGGTTCTGAACAGGTATGATTGACATCCATTAAATTTGGGTGAGTTTCTATTGGTTGAGGAGGACGGTGCTAAGTAGAGATTAGACAAGTAACTACTGGAGTTTAAGAGGAG